TTCTCAATTGTTTGTCATGGAAAGCAGGTGATAAACTTTGAACTGCATAGCTAACATATTTGTCCCAATATACTGTATATTTTTAGGACAGTAATAAGAGTATCTCATAATATGTGCTTTCATTTTATACATCTGTTGCTTCTTGTTCTGTAACAATATAAGATAATTTTTTGAGTACCTAATAAGACTTTACAAATTTATATTCATTTTCAGAGTCAAGCTCTCTCAGTCCCTGAATTGATAATACAAGACACCTCGAAGTATGGTACCTTTGTTAATGGAGAAAAAGTTTTGAATGGTACTTCCAGAACTCTGAAGTCTGGTGATAGAGTCAATTTTGGAGTCTTTGAAAGCAAGTTCAGGTGAGAACTAGTTGGATTGATTCTGAAATGCTGAAATAAAATTGCAGCTGCCAGTTGTAATTTTTAAAAATAGTACCTCAGGGTGTACTTAAGGAGGTAAAAGAATAAAGAAAATAGTGATAAATTTCTATAAAGAAGGAAAATAAAGTGATATATATGTTCAAGCCGCATTCTTGTAGAAGGTTCTTCCTGTGAATTGACATTGAAACCTTTTGTGGTAAAAGATTAGCCCATAAGTGACTCTGCATCATAAGCATTAAGTGTCCTAAAATTAGCCCAAACAAAGAATAAAAACCCTATTTAATAAAACTGTTCCTAAAACATCCATGAGCATTTACAAGAGGAATAAAAATTGGGGGTTGAGATGAAGTTTGGCAGAGCCTCCTTCCACTGTTAGTGATGTGGGGAGAAAGGAAGTGAGGTAGCTGCAGAGCTGCACTCTTACACAGCCTTGGATTTAAGCGGTAAGGCAAGGCAGTGCTTTTCCTCATAAATATACAGTGGTACTCAAGGAAGAAATAAAGTAACTGATAATGATAACTTTTTTTTTTAATGACTGTTAAATCAGTGTTAAAGGAGGTTGGAAGCTGGCTTCGTCTCTTAAATTGGACTCCTACCGGACTTAGTGCTACCAGTGTCATTAGTTTGTAGCAAAACAGCACTCTTCAGTTCTTATAACAATAAGCTATTTTAGTATATCGTATTTAGCAAATATATTTGAAACATGTTTCAGAAACTAATGTCCTAGAACCATATACAGTCATGACTTTAACACCAAAAAGTTGAACAATTTTAAGCCAAAGAACAATGTACAATACAGTCTTGGAAGATAGAATCGTAGGACTAGAAGGGACCTCGAGAGGTCATCTAGTCCAGTCCCCTGCACTCAAGGCAGAACTATGTAATAACTAGGCCATCCCTGACAGGTGTTTGTCTAACCTGCTATTAAAAATCTCCAATGATGGAAATTCCACAACCTCACAAGGCAATTTATTCCAGTGCTTAACCACCCTGACAGGAAGTTTTTCCTAATGTCCAACCTAAACCCCCCTTGCTGCAATTTAAGCCCATTACTTGTCCTGTCCTCAGAGGTTAAGGAGAATAATTTTTAAGAAAATAACTTATTACTGCAGAGTAAGCATAAGTTAGTAGCAATAATCAACACCTCAGTATTCAAAATATAAAACTTTCAAGAGATGTCTTAGCACAGAGGTTCCCAAACACTTTTTGCTGTGATCCTCATGGGAGTCACATAACAGCCTTGCCAACTCCCATTCGTCTGAGGCAGCAGGTGACTCAGGAAAGGTGACTCATGCCCAAGGTGGCAGTAGGACTCGTCTGGCTCCATCTTTGGAGGAATCCAGGGCAGCATGGTGTCACGGAGTCCCCAGGCGATGTTCTGGAACTGCTCCCCACAAAGCCAGTCAGGACTTTGGGGAGCCTCCTCTCAGAGCAGACTGTCTTCAGGGCAAGAAGCTTACACGGCTTCACCTCCTGGGTCTGACCTTGGAGCATTCAGCATATGCCCCTCCGTGTGCTTCCCACAGCGAGCCCGCCCAAGCGGGGTCCTGGGGAAGCCAGAGGGTCCTGCACGCACCCCCAGCTTTGCAGTCAGACGTGACTTTCAGCCAGCCAGTAAAACAGAGGTTTATTAGATTACAGGAAAACGGTCTAAAACAGCTTGTAGGTACAGAGAATGGGATCCCTCAGCCAGGTCCATTCTGGGGCCCAGCGAGCCAGACAACCCTGTCTGCACTCACTCCCCGTCCCCAGGCTGCTCCAAACTGAAACCCCACCAGCCCCTCCTTTCTGGCCTTTGTCTCTTTCCCGGACCAGGAGGTCACCTGATCTCTTTGTTCACCTTTAGCTATCCCCTTGCAAGGGGGGAAGGGCCCTGGCCATCTGTTGCTAGGAGACAGATTGTCGGTCATTTATGCACATTGGAGATTTAAGAAATGCATAGGGGAAACTGAGGCACCCACACAGTATTCAGAGGAAACATTAAGAACAGTCCCAGTTCGTCACACATGGCACAGAGAGAAGGCCTGGTCCGATCTCCACCTGCCTTCACTCCTTCAAACTCCAGAGGGTTTAATGTACATGGGGCTGCAGCTGGCCACGTGTCCAGGACAGGGCAGCAGGGAGGAGAGCACTCAGGGAGTCCTCCGTAATCTGTAAGGGGAGGAGGGGGAGAGCAGCAAGCTGCTGCTAGGGCTGCAAGTCCTGCCCCTGAGGACTCCCTGTGTGCTCTCCCAGCTGCTGTCCTGCCCTGGCCTAGACATCCGGCTGGCCATGGCTCTATACACCAGCTTGTTTCTCCTCCCTGCCTCGCTTCCCCCCCCCCTCGCGATAACTATGTCATGCTCCTCTTCCCTCCCACCCCCCGCTTCCAGTTTGAAAACCAATGGCTTAGCATATGGGTCCTGTTGGTTTTATCTCAGTTTATAATAGGTTTGGAAGAGCTCTTTTCATATGCCATAGCCCCTTTTATGGATTGTGCCACATGTGTAGTAGTGCATCATTCTGCATAATTCCCAGCACAATATCCAATAGTTCGACCTCTCCAGTTTCTAACTATAACCGTTGCTGGCTATTTATAATATTTTTTCTCATGACTGGATGTCGTTCGGTTAATGTATGCAACTAAGCTACATAAGAAATGTGTGCAGCTTGACGTATCTGCCCTTTTTTGTTACAAAGGACAGAGGAAGAAACTAGGAACATCTTCATGTGAAAACTTGCTAATGCATTCTCCCTCTCTTGCCATAGAAGGAGGAGGATTAGCTCTTTAACTAATATGTCAAGCTATTCAGAGAGACAAGGTAGATAAGGTAATATATTTTATTGGACCAACTTCTGTTGGTGGAAGGGACAAGCTTATATTACCTCATCTACTTTGTCTGTCTTATATCCTGGGACCAACAAAGCTACGACACTGCAAACAAGACATTCAGAGGCACAGCCACATTCATGTAACAATCTTGTATCTATAATAGCTGTTAGCCCTGATGCCTTCAAGCTATCAGGAGCAGATGTGCTAAGGATTCCTACCCACCCCCCCCTGCAGAATTCTACTGCTTTCTCCCTCTGCACCCAGGAAAGTTAATGCTGACAGGATCCACAATAATTTGACTGCAAAAATCCCAGCATTTTGAAAATGGAGATGTACCTCTTGTGGAGTTGGGACTTCTTTTCTACAGCCAATCCTCCTCCCAGTCCCAGGGTTTTATCCTCCTACTGTGGAGGCAGTGGCACTGGAACAATTTTTATAGTGGGGGTGCTGAGAGCCATTGAACCAAACTGTAAACCCTGTATTTAATGGAAACCACTTCAAGACAGGGGTGCTGCAGCACCCCTAGTTCCAACATCGATGAGGGGATAAAGCCCTTAAAGAATCATATAATACTGTAATAAAGCGGGGGATGGGGGGGAATTAAGAGTCAAAGCCAAAGAAGAAAATGTGTGTTTCTCAGCCAAGACTTAAGGGATGGGAGACTTGATGAGGAAGAGCGATGCAGAAACAGATTAGAGGAGCTGTATAGAAGAAGGATTTTTTCCAGTAACAGGAGAGAGAGGAGGCAGTGCTGGGAATGTAAAGGGGGGATGGACAGAAAATTGTAACAGATTAAAAAAAAAAGATATTTCACACTTAATGGGAATGAAGGGTTCTTAACCAGTGTACATTTAAATTTAGGCTGAACAAAATGAGTGCATTCTTTAAAACAGTGACTCGCAACCTTTCCAGACTACTGTATCTCTTTCAGGAGTCTGATTTGTCTTGCGTACTCCCAAGTTTCACCTCACTTAAAAACTACTTGCTTACAAAATCAGACATAAAAATATAAAAAAAAAATTGCTTACTTTTTCATTTTTACCATATAATTATAAAATAAATCAATTGGGATATAAATATTGTACTTATATTTCAGTATATAGTATATAGAGCAGTATAAACAAGTCATTGTATGAAATTTTAATTTGTACTGACTGTGCTAGCGCACTTTATGTAGCCTGTTGTAAAACTAGGCAAATATCTAGATGAGTTCATGTATACCCTGGAAGACTTCTGCGTACCCCCAGGGGTACAAGTACCCTGGTTGAGAACCACTGCGTTAAAAAAAGCAACATCTATTTTAACTTGAATGCACTTTGACATTTGTTAGTTACATATGTATTTTCTTTAATCAGTTGTGCTATTCAGTATACTTGGCATATTTTGTTGATGCTATTAGACCTTAAAAGATCCACATATAAATTTTCTTCCTGACCTTCCAGTCTCCTTGTCTGCAGGGTAGCCAGTTAGGAGGGCTGCCTTGGAGTAAGGATTCCCAGGGCTTTCAGGCTCCCAGCTCTTTGGCAGTGGGAGCTTTTGGAGTTTCTGCTCCCTGAGCTGCTTGGCTTCCAGACTCCCTGAGCTGCTCAGTTTGCTGCCGGCCGGGGTTCCATGCAGCTCAGAGAGCCCTGGAAATGTTTCAGACAGGAATTCCATTTTTCAGCCAGCTCTGTCCCCCTATAATGTTTCATTTTAACTATTTAGACTAAGACTGTCGATTAATCGCAGTTAACTCACGTGATTAACTCAAAAAAATTTATCACAGTTTAAAAAATCGTGATTAATCGCAGTTTTAATCGCACCATTAAATAGAATACCAATTGAAATTTATTATAAATATTTTTGTATGTTTTTCTACATTTTCAAATATATTGATTTCAATTACAACACAGAATACAAAGTATACAGTGCTCACTTTATATTATTTTTATTACAAATATTTATACTGTAAAAATGATAAACAAAATAAATAGTATTTTTCAATTCACCTCATACAAGTACAGTAATCTCTTTATCATGAAAGTGCAACTTACAAATGTACATTTTTTTGTTACATAACTGCACTCAAAAACAAAACCATGTAAAACTTCACAGCCTACAGGTCTACTCAGTCCTACTTCCTGTTCAGCCAAACAAGTTTGTTTACATTTACAGGAGATAATGCTGCCCGCTTCTTATTTACAATGTCACCTAAAAGTGAGAGCAGGTGTTCACATGGCACTTTTGTAGCCAGTGTTCCAAGATATTTACTTGCCAGATATGCTAAACATTCGTATGCCCCTTCATGCTTTGGCCACCATTCCAGAGGACATGCTTCCATGCTGATGACGCTCGTTTAAAAAAAAAAATTAAAAAAAGTTTTAATTAAATTTGGGACTGAACTCCTTGGGGGAGAATTATGTCTCCTGCTCTGTTTTACCCACATTCTGCCATATATTTCATATTACAGCCGTCTTGGACGATGACCGTCACATGTTGTTTGTTTTAAGAACACTTTCATTGCAGATTTGACAAAATGCAAAGAAGGTACCAATGTGAGCTTTCTAAAGATAGCTACAGCACTGGACCCAAGGTTTAAGAATCTGAAGTGCCTTCCAAAATCTGAGAGGGGCGATGTGTGGAACATGCTTTTAGAAGTCTTAAAAGAACAACACTCCGTTACGGAAACCAAAAAAGAAAATCAACCATCTGCAGGTGGCATCTGACTCAGATGATGAAAATGAACATGCGTGAGTCCGCACTGCTTTGGATAGTTATCGAGCAGAACCTGTTATCAGCATGGACGCATGTCCTCTGGTATGGTGGTGGAAGCATGAAGGGACATAGGAATCTTTAGCACATCTGGCACGTAAATATCTTGTAATGCTGGCTACAACAGTGCCATGCGAATGCCTGTTCTCCCTTTCAGGTGACATTGTAAACAAGATGCGGGCAGCATTATCTCCTGCAAATGTAAACAAATTTGCTTGTTTGAGCGATTGACTGAACAAGAAGTAGGACTGAGTGGACTTGTAGACTCTAAAGTTTTACATTGTTTTATTTTTGAATGCAGTTTTTTTTTTGTACATAATTCTACATTTGTAAGTTCAACTTTCATGATAGAGATTGCACTACAGTACTTGTAATGGGGGAATTGAAAAATACTGTTTTTTTTTTTTTTTACAGTGCAAATATTTGTAATAAAAAAAATATATATAAAGTGTACACTTTGTATTCTGTGTTGTAGTTGAAATCAATATATTTGAAAATGTAGAAAACATCCAAAAAGATTTAAATAAATGGTATTCTATTATTGTTTAACAGCATGATTAATCGCAATTTATTTTTTTAATCGCACAATTAATTGCAATTAATTTTTTTAATCGCTTGACAGCCCTAATTTAGACAATTCTCTTCTGTAACTTGTTCCTTGCAGAGTAGAATATGAACCATTGATTGTCTGCTCCTCGTGTTTAGAAGTTTCTGGGAAAACTGCTTTAAATCAAGCTATTCTGCAGCTTGGAGGCCTTGTTGTGAATGATTGGTCAGAAGAATGTACTCATCTTGTCATGATATCAGTGAAAGTTACTGTTAAGGTAGGTTGAGTTTCTGTTTATTAATATATTTTGTGACTTCAAAATGAAAATGTATGGGGTGAAATCCTAGTGCCCTATTGAAGTCAGTGGCAAAATTCTCATTGACTTCAGTGAGACCAGGTTTTCACCTAGGAAAATAATTGTTTTCAAGTAAAGAGTCCTTTAAAAACAAAATCAATATGAACATTTAACTAACATCAGAAGAGTCTGAACTGTTTATAGCAGTTAAAATATTTTACAATTGTCATCCACTTTTGTGCATGATGTATTTTTCTGGGCTTTATTTTTTCTGTTCGCTGTGGTATTTGAAAATGCAAAAGAAGCAGACCACTTAAATGTGAATCAGAGGAACATAGGAGTTACTATACCAGAGGTGGGCAAACTATGGCCGGCGGGCCACGCCTGGCCCCTGAGCTCCCGGCCGGGGAGGCTAGCCCCCAGCCCCTCCCCCACAGCCTCAGCTCACTCCGTCGCCAGCGCAATGCTGTGGGCAGCGGGGCTGCGAGCTTCTGGGGCAGTGCAGCTGCAGAGCCCGGCCTGATCCGGTGCTCTGTGTTGTGCAGTGGCGACGGCGTGGCTGGCTCCAGCCGGGCAGCGTGGCTGTAGCGCCGCCAGTCACCGGTGCGCCAGGCAGCGCGGTAATGGGGCAGGGAGCGCGGAGGGGTTGGATAGAGGACAGGGCTTGGGGGGGTGGGCAGGGGGCGGGGGGGTGGGTAGGGGTCGGGGCAATCAGAGGGCTGGGAACAGGGGGGTTGAATGGGGGCAGGGGCCCCAGGGGGCAGTCAGGAATGAGAGGAGGGGTTAGATGGGGCGGCGGGGGGCAGTCAGGGGACAGGGAGAAGGGATGGTTGGATGGGGCAGGGGTCCTGGGGGGGGGCAGTCAGGAATGAGGAGGGGGGGGTTGGACGGGCAGGCGGGGGGGGAGTCGGGGGCAGGGGTTCCCGGGGCAGTCAGGGGACAGAGAGAAGGGGTGGCTGGATGGAGCAGGGGTCCCAGGGGGGCCATCAGGAATGAGAGGAGAGGTTGGATGGGGCAGCGGGGGGCAGTCAGGGGCGGGGGAACAGAGGGGTTTCGGTCAGGGGACAGAGAACAGGTGGGGTTGGATGCGGCAGGAGTCCGGGGGGAGCTGTTAGGGGTTGGGGGCCGGGCGACAACCCCCTCCCCTAACCGGCCCTCCATACAATTTCTAAAACCCGATGCGGCCCTCAGGCCAAAAAGTTTGCCCGCCCCGTACTATACCATACTCTTAGGGTTACAGTCCATAATATTAATTATCCTTTTGTCTGATAGAGGCCAGAACTGGATACTTTAGAGGAAGTGCAAGAAACCCTGTAGTGAATGGTTATGGAATAATCTGGCCGCGGGGGGGTGGGAGTTTCCTCCTAAGCTGTAGTTAAAGGTTAGTTTCTACCCTCAAACATGAGAATGTAGGTCCTTTCTAGTTTGTATGAAAATCCTATGTAATGTCACTCTGGATGCTTTCATTAGACATTTATATAGATAAGACCATGTCTACACTACAAAATTTGGCTGACTCAAGCTACTTCAACATAAAGCTATCGTATATTTTATATGCTCGTATGTGTGCATATTTGGCTCTTTGCGTCTGTACTGCGTGTATTCACAAGGAGTGCTTGTGTTGATGCATAGTGCGATGCACCATGGTTAGGTATCCCAGGGTGCAACTTGCCACTGTCCAGCACACTGTCTTTTGGCATGTTTTGGCAATGCATGGTGCGGCAGAAACGAGTTGTGCAGGGGTGACTGGAAACAATGAGTGAAGTTCCCAGCATGCAACTGTCTCCATCTCATAATGTCATCCATATACCATAATTTTTGAGCCTTTAAAAATCCTGCAAACCCGTGCATCCCTTCTCGCTCTCCGCCATCTCTGACAGAAGATGCACTGCTCAACACAGTTGTCATGAATGTTGCAAACACAGGATGCACAGTCTTCTGCTATTGTATTTGCAGAGCTTCAAGAAGAACTGCATCAGTGGGGAACATGATGATTTCGTGGAGGACAGATTGCTGTGGGAAATAGCAAGAACCAATTCAGGGTTATTGGTAGCATTCACAGAGCAGCTGCAAATGGTGAAGCACCACTCTGGGCCTGAGAAATGAGCACTTACTGGTGGGATTGCCTCATAATGCAGGTTTGGGACAAGAGCAGTGACTGCAGAACTTTCGGATGTGCAAGGCCACATTCCTGGATCTGTATGCCAACCTTACCCCAACCCTCCAGCTCAAAGACACCAGAATGACAGCTGCACTGACCATGGAGAAATGGTGGTGACTGCACTGTGGAAACTCGCAACACCAGATTGATTTCCCACTCACTGGTAGCATTTTGAAGTTGGAAAATCCACTGGGCTATTGTCAGACAAGTGTGCAGGGCCATTAATTGTCTCCTATTATGCAGGACTGTGACTCTTAGCAACATGCGTGACATAGTGGATGGATTTTCAGCAATGGAGTTCCCAAACTGCAGTGGAGTGATAGTATGAATATCCTTATTTTGGCACCAGCCCACCTTGCCCCAGAGTATTTCAACGGAAAGAGCTACTTTTCCATGGTTATGCAAGCATTGGTGGATTACTGGGGATGCTTCACCGACATCAGTCTTGACTGGTAAAGGAAGGGTATGATGCTTGACTCCTTAAGAACACAGGACTGTTCAGAAAGCTGCAAGCAGGGACTTTCTTTCATGGCTGGCGGATTACCATTGGTGGTTGTACTTACGGTCCCCTGGTGTGTGGAGTGGTAGTGGTAGCCGCTGCTGCCATATGGAATGTTGAGGTGGATATACGGAGTTGCTGTACTGGAGTTCTCCATGGACTGCAAAGGGAGGCAAGCCTGTGATTGTTGTATCTCTAGGCCCACAGGAGTCTGCAGCATCTGTATTTGCTGAAAGTGAAACACCATTATATCCTGGTTCATCTCCCTCTGCTTTTCCTGATGGGCCTCCTGAGTCTGTCTCTTGTCTGCTCTTTCCTTCTCCAGTCTGAAATACTCACCTTCCAGCCCAGTGCGGCACTGCCTTGCACAATCTCGCTGAACATGTTATCTGGAGTCCTCTTGTTTTTTCTCCTTGTCTGGCTCAGGCGTTTCGCAGATGTGGAGGGGGAACTCCTCATGGCCATAACAGCAGCAGCTACAGATAAAAACAGAGGTACCATTGTTAGTATAGCAACTGCTTGCAGATGATACTAAACTGCTCAACATAGTTAAGACCAAAGCAGACTGTGATGAACTTCAAAAAGATCTCACAAAACTAAGGGATTGGGCAACAAAATGGCAAATGAAATTTAATGTGGATAAATGTAAAGTAATGCACATTGGAAAAAATAACCCCAACTATACATACAATATGATGCAACTTTGGTATACTGCAGGTGGGAGCGTGTTTGCTGCGGAAAGCCATCATTGTCAGCTGGGAAGATGTAATGTGAGCTGTCGGTGCTGAGCAAACAGGAAGTGGAATTTCAAATATTCTCAGAGCTTTAAAGGCGGAGGGGTGTATGCCTGTGTACCTGACTGCAGTGCAGCAGAGTAGAAACTGCTTACCAGAGTGATCATAATGGGCATTGTGGGACACCTCCTGGAAGCCACTTAGGATGACCTAAGCAAGCACAGTGTCTACACTGACACTGTGGCTCTGTGTTGCAAAAAGCTCTGTGCTGCTTGTCGAGGTGGTTTTACTATATCGGCATAACAGGAGAGTTAAATCGGTGCGAGGAGCATTGTTGTGTTTACACCTCCGCTGCTTTGTCAACGAAACCTGACTTTTGTCGACAAAACTGTGTAGTGTAGACAAGGCCTTAGAAACTTCAAACAACTACATAGAAAAGAGATGTTAGCAGTCATTTTACCCGCCATTTGATATCTAAATATTCTATTTTGTAAATTTGCATGTAGGGCTCTTTTGTGGCGAAATAAGACTGTTTGTATAGCATCACTGATTTTCCTTTTTCTAACTTTTTTTTTAAAGATTGCTCGCCAGTAGGTTAGTAATAAAAAGGGTTATTCCGTTTAATGGCTTTTGTCAACATAATTACAATTATAAAGAATAACTGATGGGTGTAAGAACAAAACTATTTGTTTTTTTTTGTTTGTTTACGTTTGCCCTAGTAGAATTATCATGCACTTATGTAACACACATTCCACATTTGAGACCTTACATAAATATTAGATTTCAGTACTATTTTTTGGGTGACAGCATATTCTGCTTGAATTGTTAAGTATGGTAATGAATCTTTCCTTCTTTTCAGACTATATGTGCTTTGATTTGCAATCGACCAATTATAAAGCCAGAGTACTTTGTGGAATGTATCAGAGCCATTCAATCCAAGCAGCAGTTGCCAAAACTGGAAAGGTAAGTGGCATGTTTTCAGTATCACAAAGTTGCATTTAACAGGGCTTATGTTTAATTTAATATTTACATTACTTGAGTGCTAGATTAATCATCTTTTCACATTTTTTAGCACCTATTTTCTGAAGTTATACCATTATATTACATATAAATACTTATTTACTCCTAAAACGAGAAGCCCCGTAAGCTTGTCCTGTTTAGATGTAACTGCCATGTCTTATTGCATGTGTAATAGTCTGTATTTTTCAGTACCATAGGATATTCTGACATCTACTTGTCGTAACATATGCATTTATATGGCATATAACTACCTGATAAAAGAGCTAAACTAATTTATAACAACATTGTTCTACTTATGTCTTCCAGAGTATAGAGAGGTTTTTACCTTTTTTTCTTAAAAGTCCTAATTCCAACTAATGTAAAAATGCTGTGATCAATTCAGTATTTTTTTGTAATTCACCTTCTTGCCCTGTACAAAGTGGAAAGAAGTAAAGTGTAACACTGAAAAAAGTTTTGATTGCAATAATTTGAGTTGCAGACGACTGCTTAATTTGAAACATTTTACATTCTGGTAATTTTCTTGCCTCGATCCCTGAGGAGTTAAAAAACGTAACATATAAATGTGAGTTCTTGGTGTTCATTAGATGCTTAGAGATGCTACTAGGTCTACCTAGGCTTCATTTTCAGAGGTTGCCATAGAGATCTCTATGGTAATATAGTCAAAGCAGCATGTATACTCTTTTGGGAATAGATACATTAAAAATCTAATTTTCTTGTTTTAAAATAATTATATAAAGCTTATCTCAATATGAAAACTTATTTTTCCACTATTTTTTCAATTTGTAAGACTAGATTCATTTTAAGCTTTGGTCATTAACAGAAATAACCCAAATATGTTCAGCTGCCTTTAATATCAAATTTTTGTGCTTTTGTCTGAAGTTAAAATAAGATTAATATGCCACTAGATAACAAGGGCTAGGTCATGATCTTATGTGGAAGAATCACTTTTTATCTTGTGTAACCAGATGATGTGCCTGTGGAGTACCTCATTTTACAAGATAAACAGGGTGCATACTGTGGCTCTATCACATGAATACACAATGCAAATTGCACTTAGTTCATGCCTGTGCATCTAAGATTGTCATTTGGTCTTGTATATTTCACGTTGTTAGAAATTTAAGAACAGACAGTGTCAGACTAGAAAAGACTAATTGTCCATTTTAGTCTGCTCTCCTACCTCTGCCTTCGGCTAATATCAAATGCTTCAGACAAAAATCATTATGCACTTCACAGCTTGTTTACACAGAAGTTATTCTGGAATAAGGTAGGGTATGAATTTAAAGTGCTGTAGTTATTCTAGAACAGTTCCATATATGGATGCTCTATAAACCTTTTCCTTGTTTAGCTTAATCTTAAAGTAAATGTGCAATAATTCTGAATCATGAAGATGGATAGATCTTGTAATTTTATGCTAGATAGTGTAACTATAGGTGCTGTTCTTCTATTACTAATTTTTAACTAAGGTGTTTGCCTCATTGATAGTCTGTGACATTAAACATCATAAGTGCAAGGGATGTTAGTTACCTTTGGCGTTGGGAGCGGTGCATTATGGGCAGCTATCCCACAGAGCACCTCTTCTCATTCTGGTGCTGTGGCTCGTGGGAAGGGGATGTGGGGGTGCGGGGCATTATGGATCCTGTCCCAAAGCCCCATGATTCATCGCTTCGCATCCCAGCAATCCCTGTGCTTCCGTCCACATTTGGCACCATCTTTCAATGTTTTTTGAACTGCGCGCTCTGTCTTCCCTTTCGGTTTGCGGGAATGGAGCCCGAACTGCTGAGGAATATGCTGATGGATCACGAATGGCAGTCTAGTTACTCCTTAAGCTACAAACTGACAGTGAGGGGTCTGACGTTGATGTTGACTTGCATTACACTTGCGACACGAGATTGCTTGTGGCATTCACGGACATGCTCACCACAGTGGAACGCCGCTTTTGGGCTTGGGAAACAAGCACTGAGTGGTGGGATCATATCGTCATGCAAGTCTGGGATGACGAGCAGTGGCTGCAGAACTTTCGCATGAGAAAAACCACTTTCATGGGAGTGTGTGCTGAGCTCGCCCCCACCCTGCGGTGCAAGGACACAAGATTGAGAGCTGCCCTGACGATGGAGAAGTGCATGGCTATTGCAGTCTGGAAGCTGGCAACTTCAGACAGCTACCGATCGGTCGCTAACCAGTTTGGAGTGGGAAAGTCGACTGTTGGAATCGTGTTGATGCAAGTTTGCAGAGCCATTAATCGCATCCTGCTTAGAAGAGCCGTGACTGTGGGTAACATGCATGACATTGTGGCTGGCTTTGCACAAATGGGTTTCCCTAACTGCGGAGGGGCGATAGATGGGATGCATGTTCCAATTCTGGCACCAGCCCACCTAGCCTCCGAGTACATAAATCGGAAGGGATATTTCTCTATGGTTCTCCAGGCGCTTGTGGATCACCGGGAGTGTTTCATTGACATTAACGCAGGCTGGTCCGGAAAGGTGCATGACGCACGCATCTTTTGGAACACAGGCCTGTTTAGGAAGCTGCAACCTGGAACTTTCTTCCCAGACCAGAAGATCACTGTAGGGGAAGTCAAAATGCCCATTGTGATCCTTGGAGATCCCGCTTACCCTTTAATGCCATGGCTCATGAAACCCTACACAGGGAGCCTTGCCAGCAGCAAGGAGCGGTTCAACAACTGGCTGAGTCGGTGCAGAATAACTGTGTATGGGAAGCTGGACCTGGCCGATGACAACATCCCCACGGTTATATCCGCGTGCTGTACCCTCCATAACATTTGTGAAGGGAAGGGTGAAAGATTCACTCAGGCATGGACCTCGGAGGTTCAACACCTGGAGGCTGAATTTGAACAGCCAGAGAGCAGGGCTATTGGAGGGGCCCAGCGTGGGGCTGCAAGGATTAGGGATGCCTTGAGGGAGCAATTTGAGACTGAAAGCCACCAGTGGTGCCCTGCACAGGAGTGAAGTGCAGTGGTTCCAATGTTAGTAGGAATCTGTGTTTGCTACGTATGATACTCTGACTTGCAGTGCCTGTTTCTTTCCTGGGCTAATGTATCTTTTACTTAATGCAATAATAAAGAATGTTTTCAAAGCCAAAAAATTCATTTATTGAAAAGAAACACAACTGCTTGGGAAACAGGGCAAGGGAGTGGGGAGGGGAATGGGAGAATCACAGATTTGCATATGTCCTGTTATCATACTGAGCCTTCCTGTCTGGAGTGCTGTGCAATGAGTGCTGCACTTCAAGCTGGCTAAAATGCATGGTGATGGGGGTTGAGTGCAGTGGGTATGGGTCATAGTTTGCAGGGTTGAGTGGTGAAGCTACAGGTGTTGGAGGCAGCTGGTGGCGATAAGAACCCGGATGTTGGGGAAAGTGGGTTGGAGGTGACATGGGGGCACAAGGGAAAGAGTTTTGGGACAAGGACTGGGGGTGGAGAGGGGGGCGGTGTGGAAGTGCTCTGCCTGCATTGCTACGAGTGCCTGAATCGAGTCCACTTGGCGCTCCATGATACTTAGCAGCCGCTCTGTGCCTTGGTGCCGGCGATGCGCATTCTGCTGGGGGACCCTCCTTTCATTCTTCTGCCACTCCTGTGCTTTTTTGATTTTCATTAAAGGACTGCTGCATTACTTCATGCAGCATGTCCTCTTTGCTTCTATGTGGTCGCTTCCTGATTCTTTGGAGTCTTTCGGCTGTTGATAACAAGGACGCCTGGGATCTCAAGGTTGCATCTGTAAAGCCAAAATGCAACACTTAACAGAGGCAGCATTGTTCACACCAGACCGAGCAATGATTTGGCCGTACTTAAGACAAGCACAGTCTACACAATAGCAGAAATTGCCTGTCCGAAAGCGAGCGAACGTAACCCACAGGAGCCCCAAAATGGTGAGTAAGCACAGGATCAAGGGGGACTGATTGTTTCACAGCTGTGCTGTCCTCTGGGTTTCTGTGCCTTGGGGAGAGCCAACAGCTGCAGGGGGCCCCTGTACTGAACACTGTCCCATATTTTCCACAGGAGTTCATCCTGGAAGATATCTCGCTGCTGAGGGTGACCTGGGAAGCAAGGGAGTGTCTTCTACTATAATGCGGCTTCCACCCTGACCCATATGCAGCTTGCCTGTGTGCAGCAATGGTCCCCCTGCCTGTCACAGCACAGTGGCGCTGACATGTTAGCCTTACTGGGACAAGGAGCACAGTAGCTCTGCCAAGGAACCTGCGCAAGTGGATTGCCGAACTTCTGCATGAGACCTTTGAAGAGATCACTGAGGCCGATTACCGCGATGTGAGAGAGCACATCAATGCCCTATTCCGCATCTAGGCATGCATGCAGCCCTAACCCTCCTTGCCCCAAGAGCCTGCACCAAACAACTTCCTTCCCAAAATAAAAGCCGCTTACCGGGCACCTCCTCTGGTGTTTGTTCTTCGCCAAGCACTGTCCGCGGCGACTGGCTACCTTCCTCCTGGCTTGAAAACAGCTCCTGGCTGCATGCATCTAGGGATGCCAGGCTGTCTCCCTCCTCCTCAGCACCCTCACTCCCACTTTCCTCCTCCTCCCGCCTTGTTGAACTGGGCTCTGAAGTGTCCATGGGGGTCTTCTGAGTGGAGGTTGGGTTGCCCCCAGGTATTGCATCCAGCTCTTTGTAGAAACAGCAGGTCGTGGGGGCAGCACCAGAGCAGCAGTTTGCCTCGCGGGCTGTCGTAGGCATTCCGCAGCTCCTTCACTTTAACCCTGCACTACACACTGGCGCCATGGTGCTCCAGTCGGGGCGCAGCAAGCTTTATGCTTCTCTTTGAGGTGGATTACCAGGAGCGCTCTAGCCATGGAGTCCGGGCGCTCTACGTGCCTTGCCAGTGTGGATGCGTCATGAGTTAGGGCGCCCAGGGATGCTTTAATGCTGATACTGAAAACATGCATTAATGCGCTCTAACTCACAAGTGTAGCC